TAACTGTGTGCGTTCAAATGCATAAGAATCTTAACCATGATTTTTGGATTGTAGATTTGCACGCGAGTTTATTCTCTCTTTATTCACGGGACATTTATTATTTTTTGTGTTTGTCAATAATAACATGTTCAATGCAACCACAAAGATGGGTTGCTTTTCCAAACCAGCATTGGAGTCAATGTAGGCCCAATGTCTGATGATGTGAACAAAAAAATAGATGACCCGTCCAGCCCCAATTTACCGTACACATTTTAAGCCTAAGCGACAAATTTGCGATATCCCGAACTTGGTGCAAAAATTTAAATGCATTTTTGGCGAAAATGAGTTATACATCGGAATCGATTGTCAAGTACCATCACTTCACAATGTACATGAACAGTTTCCTACTTTATTCAGAAAATGTCGCTACAACTACCAAAACTATGTTGTGCCATCCAGAAGAGCCCATGGAGAAAACAAAATTTTGAATTATGCTGAAAAGGGCAGTACAGCTTTCAATGTTTGTTGCGGTATTCTCCCTATCAGTGATGCAAAATATCATGACTCTCACTCGACACTCGGCAATGAATCACCCGACTATCGCTGACAGAACGTTTGGTCACGCAGTGAGAGGTAGAGCCATGGCAAACAACAATCACCACTAGGGGAACTAGGGACAAGAAGGTCACCCTAACGATAGCGCATTTTAATATGCGATTCCGTGAATATTTATAGGAGTTCGTGAACCGAATTGTAAGTTTATAACCTTGTCTCCATGTATCATCATTGAAATTAAAATTAAACCCCATTAAAAAATGTTAATGATTTTTTTCAAAATGTCTGCTTTAAAAAATGCTACGGGGCAAGAGGGCCACTCTTATGGGGCAAAAAGACTATATGTCTAAAATGAAGTGAAATTAATGAATGTTCATTTCAAAACAACAAATTACTATTCTTAGGTATGACAGCAACTGCTTTTATTGTTTATTCCTCTAAAATATTGATATTTTTTTTTAAATCAAACCATGTGCGTCATAGAATTCAAATGGAAACTATTTTTGATACTATTTTATACAGTTTGTTTTCCAAAATTTCACGAAAACAATGTATATTGGAAACATAAATGCCCAATTATGCTAATTTCTGAACAGTTTTGTACAATTTAATACATAAATGTAGGGGTGGCACTCTTGCCCCGTATATAGTTTATTTTTATGAATATTTTTTTTTGATTAATTAAAGAAAATATTTAATAATTTATTGTTACTAATGTTTCAATCAACTATCAATAGTGACGTCTCAATGCAGAAATTGTGAAAAAAATAAATTGGAAATTTCGAAAACCTATTTTATGATGCCTTATTCTTATAAAAAAACTAGCTTTTCAATGCATCAACTAAAGGGTGTCCACGATGAAATTGCCACACACAAAATTGATTCGCAAAATTCGAGTTTTCATCCGATTGCCATCAAATTTTCAGGGATTGAGAAATAACTATTAAACTTCATTTTACCATTTTACTCGTATTTTATTTACAGTCCATAAGCAAATGCCCGCACCTTGGCCTTAACCCCGGCCATAAGATTCTGCACAACCTGTGAATCAACCATTTTTTGCATGTAAACCCATACTTTCTTCAGTTCCTCGACTGTCTTCACTACCTTAGGTCGTTTAAGAAGGTGCTGCTTCATAATCGCCCAGTACTTCTCGATGGGGCGGAGCTCCGGAGTGTTGGGAGGGTTGAACATTTTCGGCACGAAATTGACCTTATTGTCCGCATACCACTTCAGCACGTCCTTGGAGTAGTGGCATGAGGCCAAATCCGGCCAGAAGATTGTTGGGACGTTGTGGGCCTTCAGGAGAGGAAGCAGCCGCTTCTGGAGGCACTCTTTTATGTACACCTGTCCGTTCATCGTGTCCTGGGTCACGAAAGGTGCACTCCGCTTCCCGCACGTGCAGATGGCTTGCCAAACCAGGAATTTCTTCGCAAATTTGGACATCTTCTGAGTGCGGACATGCTCCGGAACGCTGAACTTATCCTTGGCCGTGAAAAACAGGTTGCCGCGGATCTGTTTGAAGTCGGCCTTCACATATGTTTCGTCGTCCATGATGCAGCATTCAACTTTCGTTAGCATGTTGAGGTACAACTTCCTGGCACGGGTTTTGGCGGACTTGTTCTGCTTCTCGTCGCGATTAGGGGCCTTTTGTACCTTGAACGTTCGAAGCCCAGCCTTAGTTTTGGCCTTCTAGACAAAACTTCGGCTTAGGTGCAGCTTCTTAGCCACATCCCTAACGGAGGCGTTCGGATTTTGGTTGAAGGCCCCAACTACGCGGTTGTGATTTTTGGTGTTGTACGGAATACTTTTTCCTTCACTTCTGGGCTTCCGATCGGTGGTCAACCGTTCCTCGAACCGCTTAATCACTCGCGACACCGTGGAATTCGCGATTCCCAACGTTTTAGCGATGGAACGATGCGAGAGATCCTTGTTCTCGTGATGAATGCGCAAGATTTTATCACGCACGAGCTGTTCTTTCGACTCCATTTCCGCGAGTTTTGATCACAGGACTTTAAAACTTGCAGGATATAAATAATGCACTATGAACTAAATCCACCCAAATTTTCATTAAATTCTACCCAACGGTTAAAAAGTTAGAGCAATTTCATAGTGTGGCAATTTCATCGTGGACACCCTTTACTTGACAATGACTTTTTGCATTTTTTTTTTTACGACTTCGATTCGGACAGAACTTTTTAGAATGCTTCATAGGAATACCGTGCATAGGTTCATCGTGGGATAGGATTGAAATGATTTCATTTTCAAAATATATTGAGGATGGCATTCTTGCCCCGGGTGACCTTCTTGCCCCTAGTTCCCCTAATGGTCGGTGCTCACAGGCAAAACGTAACACTCGCTGCTGATGATGTAAAGCATAACGAAAACAGTGAAGACTTCTGCAGTACGATGATGAGAATAAGCGAAACGACAGAAGAAAATGAAAACAATGCCTACGCATTGCAAGTTCGCCTCGGCACGTGCGACTGTGTGAGTTATAAACATGGCTGATAAAATTAAACGGAAGCTGTTGGGCTCAATCACCAACACACTCACAAAAGCATACAAAGCAGCAACTGCTTCAAAACGAGCACAGATGAGTGTCGTGAATGTCGGGAATGACCAGATCGGTGATGGTTCACCACCGAAGACGACATTCACCAGTTGCTTTTTACTTCTTTCGTTAACTTGATGGATGGTCATGCAGAGTGCTTCGACAAGCACATTGATAGGAATATACCAAACATTACTACCATCAGCGTGATTGTGATAGGTCGCAACTCTGCTCCCTATTGCTATTATGTCAAGCTCTTGACGTTCTTAAGATCTAACCTTAAAGTAATCTTAACCAACTCGTGTACTGCCTTTCTACGCATAACTGTCCCTTGTTGAAAATGTTGTAAAAGAATAAGGCGCGATTAATGTTACGAATCATTCTTGCCTATTGCAGATAGTATACGTTAATATAAAATAGTATAGGGGAAGTGCACCAGTATTGGCCATAGGTTCCTATTTTGACCACACCTCAGAAAACCGATTAAATTACAATATTCGTGCATTTTGTGGCTGAAATGCTTATGTACACCGATGAATATGATTTGTGGGACTCTCTTGCACGTATGTTTCTTTCTTGAAACGAGGAGGAATCGAGCATACACGTATTATCGGCAAAATTTTTGAAATGAACTCAAATCGATCCATTTATTGGATTCAATAACAAAATTTTAGTGGGACTGTTATGCCTAGAATTTCAACATGGGACAATAACGCTTGATGATGTTTTTTTTCACAAATTCAGAATAAACAATATTTATTTTTTTATTTATAGTAACATGGGCTAGTTATTGTTGCAGGATTTTGCTAAATTTGCCTCTATATTGAACTCCTTAATTTCTCACGACTTGTTCTGGGCTTGAACAAACTTGATATCGTTATTGAAACTAATTAATTCGATATCAAAGTTTAGACATGGCCTCGAATCTAATCTAGCCTGGAATAGTTTCAAAAGTTCCCCGGGCTTACTCCCGATCTTCTGGATTGATAATAATCGATGTCTTTGGTGTGAAGATGTACTAGCTAGTGGCTTAAATACTCCTTAATAAAATTAAAAAAAAACGATGTATTTGGAGCTATCCCTGCAATGCAGTAGTACACCTGCCTGCAGAACTGTCTACGAAAAAACCAAACCAGTAAACGAAATACTTTGGACCTATATTCCCCTGCATACATATTTGTGTAACATACTGGTCTGATTCATATTTTAATTTAAAGTGGCTCATTGAATTTTAAGACTAATACGAAACAAGAGCGAACGGTAGCTGCATTAGCGGAAAGGTCCGAGTTTCAAACATTGCATTTGGACCTTGAGACTTTTTGCAAATTAAAGGAACAAAACTACAAAGTTTCAGAAAATAATTCATAAGAATAATAGTCCAAACGAGACGAAGGCAACAAATGTGTCCAGCTGCTGAAAATGGAGATGATCACACAAGCTACAATGGCAAGCGATACAAAAATATGAATTCACACACACAAACACTAAAGGCCTTATATTTAAAAAATAGAACCGAGGGGAAATTTTGTAGTGTGTCGTTTTATTTGTTTTTAGTCATTACAAAAATACACGTTACTTCTTCGATTAGAGATTGGATCAAGTTTGCCTAGCATGTTTTCGGGCTGGTAGCATTCTAATTAAAATTTAAGCACTCAACAAGTGAACAAACAAGAGATTTAAAAAAAAATAGATACAATAAACAAAAGTTATAACTGTATTTTAGGAAAGTAAATAGAACAAAGAAAAGGAAGAGTAAAAACTTCAAATAGAGTAACAAGTGGAAAGATTATAACAAGTCGAAAAGGAATACAAGAGAGTGAAAAACAATAGATGTTGGAACGCTTGGCTGGCCCCCGTTTTACCGGGTTTCAAGGAAAGCGGTCGTCATTGGATGAAAGAAAACAGAACTTACTGATCTATGTCTCTGGTGTGTCTTAAAGTTCGAGCGTTGACGCGTGAGAGACGCATGGCGCACCTGTGGAACCGAGCACAGAGAGCACAGGAGAGAGCGAGAGCGAGAAAGAGCAAAATAGAGAGCATGAAATTATAAAAGCCACAGCCGTTCGGAACCGGTGTAGCGCGGCGGTAAACACTATTCGGTTAAATTTTCTTATGATTCACGTTACTTGAATGGGATAACATTACTCAAACAAAAGTTATTTGAAAGAAAAACAAAGAAACTACGAGAAACTATAAAAATGAACGTGTACGGGTGTAATATGTTCGTTTCACGTGGGTAGTAATCGAAACCGGTGATTTTCAAGGAACGGAATTCAAACGAGTAACTTGTCGGGTAATGTAGTAATTGGGTGCACCAGTTTTTGTTTTGTTTGTTTAACGATGCTGTTAGATAGAAGCTCCTAATCATTTTCAAATTTTGCCTTTTAGTAGAAGCTTTTATCTTGAAGCACACCTTTTCGCATTAGACGCATTCGAACACAAATCAAAATTTAAGAAAATCAAATCAAATCGAAATCAGTCAACAAATAGAACCAATGCCGTGTGTAACCGATAAAGCATCATTCTAATTATCAACCATCGAAATGAGAAAGGCATATTTATTTTTTATATTGTATATGCTCATTACTGGTGCCATGATGATGGGAAAGGTGGTAAAAGTGAAGCAAAACTTACCTTCTCGGCGGTATTCCTTCGGCAGCTCTGCGATGCCACCGGCAGTTGATGCGGATTTTCCTTCAACTGCCGCAAGATGTCGCGTACCATGTCGATAAATACCAAACTTTGCGCCTCTGTCAGTAGGTCTTTGGACACCTGTGTGGTGAGTGGGGAATTGTTGTTAATCGGTGGGTTTCTTAAACAAAAGTTCATTGACGTAGCTAGGACTCCCATACAAATGTTTGATATAATTTATGCCTCAAGGAACTAAAAAGATGTAACGCTACTAGGTATGGATGAGCCAATAGGTCTTTGCAGCACTATGTACAACTTTCAGCATTGTCTCATTTGGTAAGAAAGCATTAAATTCAAGTAAGAAAAACAAAAAAAAAAGTTTTATGACGGCTTTAAAAACCAGTGCTTTTTGTGTAAACAAAAACGACAACACCCAAATAGATTGCTTTCCTTAAATCGTCTAGTCCGGCAGGCTCTAGCTACGACAATGCTCATCTCTCGTATTGGGTCGATAGAAAAATTCCGACTTACCAAATCCTGTGCCACTTCCACCGGGTTGACATTGTTCGCGTCGAACTTAAACGTGATGGTCTTGGGTCGGTTCTCCATCTCGCACTCGACGATGTTGTTTTCGAATCCCAGCACTTGCAGCTTCGGATTGCGCTCGGTCGAGCGGTAGTTTCGACGTTTTTTGGAACCCTCGTTCGTTAGCCGCTTGGGGATAGCAGCTTGCGGCGTAGGAGGTATGCCAACTCCGGGCGATGCCGTTGGATCTACTAGCGGGGGCATTTGGGCTGGCTGCGCCGCCGGTTGCGCTGGCAGCTGCTGGGGTTGGGACGATTGAACCGGGGCTGGTGCAGTTGAGGGTGTTGGTTGTTGTGGTTGTTGGGGAAGAGCTTGCTGTTGTTGTTGTTGTTGGGGTGGAGGTTGGAGTTGAGGCTGCTGGATGACTTCCACCGGTACAGGAGGAAGTGAATCCGAGCGGACCGGCTCTGGAATTTGATTTTCCGTGGGTTTAGGAGGGGGGATCTGCTGTTGTTGCTGTTGCTGCTGTTGTTGTTGTTGTTGCTGTTGTTGTTGAAGTTGCTGTTGCTGTTGTTGAAATAGTTGTTGTTGGATCTGCTGCTGCTGAATTTGTTGCTGTTGTTGCTGAATTTGCTGTTGTTGCTGCATTTGTTGTTGTTGTTGCTGTTGTTGTTGCTGTTGCTGAATTTGCTGCTGTTGTTGTTGTTGAATTTGCTGCTGTTGTTGTTGTTGAATTTGCTGCTGTATCTGAGGAGGGGAACTTTGAATCACTTGTTGTGCAATTTGTTGTTGTTGTTGTTGCTGTTGCTGTTGAACGTGATTTACTACAGCTTGATTAACAAATTGTTGTTGCTGTTGGGGTTGCGGTTGCGGTTGTTGCTGTTGATTGATGACCATTTGCTGGGTTCCAGTGGGAACCATGTTGACCTGATTGGACAAACTGTGCTGAAGTTGCATTTGTTCCTGGATCTGTTGTTGAATTTGTATTTGATGCTGTTGTTGTTGTTGTAGTTGAGCGGCCTGCATAGATTGGCCGTGTGTCATTTGAGGTTGCTGTTGCTGCTGCGGAGGTTGTTGATAGTGTTGCTGGGGTGGTTGTTGTTGTGGCGGTTGCTGTGAATGAATAGGAAGAACCGCTTGCAGTTGCTGTTCAAGAGTAGGAAATTGATCCTGGATAGCAGCCTGTTGCATTTGCTGCTGTTGGAGCTGCTGCTGCTGAAGTAACTGCTGCTGGAGCATTTGTTGTTGTATTACCTGCTGTTGTTGCTGGGACATTTGGTTCACATACTGTTGTGGCACAGTTTTCGCCTGCTGAATGGGAATTTGTTGCTGCTGCATTTGTTGAATTAGCGCTTGTTGTTGTTGCATTTGTTGGATATACTGCTGTTGTTGTTGGGCATCTATAAATACTTGCTGAGGGGATTGTTGTTGTTGTTGTTGCTGTTGCTGGACAGCCTGTACGACCGTCTGTTGTTGAATTGTTTGAGTTTGCTGAGGTACACTACACGGGATTTGTTGCATCTGAGGAATTTGGTTAAGGAACTGTTGCTGCTGCTGTTGCATGACCTGTTGGGCGGCTTGTTGCTGATTCAAAAACTGACCAACTTGATTCTGGTAGTTCTGTATGAGCTGATCGTTTCCGACAGGAGCGGACATTTGCTGTTGATAGATGATTTGTTGAGCCTGCGACGAAGGTAGCGAAGCTGGCTGATAGTAAACTTGTTGCTGAAGTTGAGGAATCGGGACTCCTCCGACCATCTGCGGGACAAGCAATTCCAAAGGTTGTCCTTCACTTTCCACCTGACTCTGTTGACTAGCATACATTTGTTGAGCTAGCATCGCCTGCTTCTGCAATGCCTCTGTTTCCTTCTCCAACTGAATTTGCCTGGCCCGTTCCTCTTTCTCCTTCACCAACGTTTGAATCTGCACCTTTAGAATCTTCGCCACCGTTTTCGAATCTTCCTCCATCAGTATCCCACTCTTGTACATATCACTAGCTATTTCATCCGCATCGTCCACCCTTGAATCGAAATCGAACTGAATCGCTTCATTTTCCTTATGCTTATTGACTCTCTTCTTGGGATCCATGATTCTCAACCGGAACTCCATCTTCGTACTGTCCGGGTTCGAAATGAAGCTTTCCTTCGAAATCGGCTCCAACCGTACGCCGATGTCTTCGCAAAAGAACTCAAAGTTCAGCAACTCCTTGCACGTCGGCCTGCCTTCCTTCTTGTCATGGATGCACCGTTCGATGATCTCCCGCACTTCCGGGTTCTCTACCTTCTCCAAGCTGGCCGGCTTGATACCAGACGTCACCTTCTTGTAGATCTGCGCCGGCGTATTGCACTCATTGTACGGATACTCGCTGGTGGCCATCTCCAGCATGCACATCCCGAAGGCGTATACATCGACTGCCTCGTCGTAGTGCTCCTCGTACATCTCCGGAGCCATAAATTCCGGCGTACCGATCACCGATTTGGCAAAGCTCCGGTTCTTCAGCGTGGCTAGCCCAAGATCTCCAATTTTTACACTCCCTGTCGTTCCGGTTATAAATATATTATCACATTTCAGATCACGATGGATGATGGGCGGGGCACGTGAGTGCAGAAAGTACAACCCCTTCAGAATTTGCCGGCACCAGGATTTCAGCACTTTCGGGTTGATCTTCTTGAAGCGACGCAAGTACCTGGTTGCGGAACAACGAGAAAAGGGGGACCGGTTAATTTCTGTTAAAATATCACGAAAAGGCTCGGAAAGCCGTGATGAGGTGGAGGCTTAAATTTTTTTGATCTTATTGCTCATGAAGGTTGTCTAGACTTCCACAGGAGGCTTACCAAAATTTTCCTGGAGGTTGCTTGAGCTTCCCCAGATTACCTTAATTTTTGTTTCGGAGACCTTCATGAGCTATCGTCGAGGTTTCGGTGGTATTCTTGAAAGTTTTCTGACAGTCCAATAGAACTTCTTTGAGCTTCTTATGGAAGACTCTGGCACCTTCACCGGAGACTTCGTAATCTTCAACTTCTGACGGTTGCGACAGCTTTATAGCCTGATGCTACTTGATCTTTTCTGCGACTGCTACCCCACTGACCTTGTATCTAGTTGTTATAGAAATTTTCGAAGCTTCTCCTTAAAAATTAATAACTATTTATGGCAGGTGCAACCATACTGACCTACTCCTAGATATTCCTCGAGTTTTGTCCGAATGCCATGGAGGTTCCTCTAATTATTTTCTAAGTATCACAATTAACGGAGTTCACCTTGGGAATCCCCGAATTTTATCGAAAAATCTCTCGACTTTCTTATGCAGTTAACTTGAAGGTCCTACATTCATTCTGGATCTGGAGTCTCGAGTCTTTCTTAGTAGTTTCAATATTGTGACAAATCTCAACTGAAATCTAACGGCACTTTCCCTTAAGCTTCCAGAAATGTTTCAAGTAACCTCCTGATGCCTGACATTCTACCGAGAGTTCGCTGCCTCGCGGTATTTTTTTTTAAATTGAAATGAAAAAGTTTGCCGTTTTGACTTTCAAAATGAGACCCCAGGTTATTGAATGTTCTATGAACATCATCCGATCGTTTCCTGACTTTCTTGAAAAAGTTTTCTTGATTTTCCAAGCCATCCCTAATACTAGTAACATGTTCTGGAGATTCCTTATATGTTCGCTAAGTTCTACTGAACTTTTTCTGGATCCTATGAGATCGTTGGATGTTCTTTGAACATCCTCCAAGAGTTTCCGAAGTTTCTTCCATGGGTTTTATGATTTTCTGCACAATCTTTAAATCTATGAGCATGCCCCCAAACGCCCGCAAAGTTCTGCTGAAGATTTTCGAAACCTTTCCTGGAACTACTAGGTTATTGAATATTCTATGAACATCCGCCGATCGTTTTCTGAGTTTTTTTTAGGGGGTTTCTTGATTGTCCAAACCCTTTTCTAATACTAATAACATGCTCTGGAGATTTCTTAAGAGTCCACTAAGTCTGCTGATTTTGTTGGCCTGTTATCAAACTCTTAGATCGATGAATGTTCTATGAACATCCTCCGAGAGTTTCTCAGGTGTGTTCATAGAGTTTCTTGATTTTCCATGCAATCCGTAGAACTAATAGCAGATCTTGACGGTCCCCAAACAACCACTAGCTTAACCATTATTTAATGTTCTATGAACATCCTCCGATCGTTTCATGAGTGTTCCTTAAAACGGTTTCTTAATTTTCCAAGCAATCTCTAGAACTAATAACATGTTCTGGATGGACGACCATTATGTCAAATGACATTCTGCAAAACGGGGTAGAGCTTTGCTTTGACGATCTCTGAACGTAGTTCAGAGTGACGATCGATCTTAACCTTCTCGTGGTTGGCATTTTAACATGGCATGAAAACGTAATATTAAAATGCTGAAATGCTCCTTAAACCTTGGAAAAATGCTGTTTTACTGCGTAGCTACTCGCAATTTACTGTCCTGCCCGTGTTTTTTTAGTCAGAGGAGCAGCTTCGGGTATGCATCTAGAATGAACTTCCAAAAGAAGCTTGTTTTAGAATCGTCTTAAAAAGCTTTTGTTGGAAGCTTCTTTTAGAAGCTTATTCTAGACGCTTGCCCGTCGCTCTGCTCCCCTGAATAAAAAAACAGACAGGACTGTCGATCTGAGTAGCTACGCACTAAAAGAGCATTTTTCCAAGGTTTAAGGAGAATTTCATGGTTTAAATATTAAAATACCTACACAGATGTTTTTTTCAAAACCACACTGATATTTGGCCTACACTTGTGATGATTTCTTAAACTTCATCAAGGAATCGAGCTTTATATTGACTTATTGAGGTTCCCGAAGTTTACGCCGAGCTTTTTACGAAATTCTTATTTAGGTCAATTGTTTTTCCCTTTGAGGTTCCCTGTACTTTCCGATGAATTCCTCCTAACTGCTCTCCCGAGTATCCCTCCTGAAGGTAACCTGAATTTCTGGAAAGTTTCTAGAACCACGCAATGGAATCGGTACTTACGATTTCAAGGTACCGGACAGCATCAGTTCCGTCACTAGAACAATGTTCTTCTTCTTGTTGCCACCGGTCGGTGGCGATTCCCAGTAGTTGTAGAACCGCACAATATTGGGATGCTGCAGCTTCTTCAGCATTTCCGCTTCCTCGCGGAATCGAGCTCGCTCGACTCGATTTACCTTTTTGTCCTACAAAATAGAAACCAAAACCAAATCAATCAACCATCTTTGGCAACTCCACCCACCAGCACACTTACCAGCAACTCGCACCACGCCACCGCGACACCGGTCTGCGTGTCCAACCCGCGGTAAACCGTCTTGAATGAGCCCCGTCCAACTTCTTTGTCGTACTTCAAGAACCTACCGCACGGCGAAATTCCAATCGCTTCGTCCTCATCGTCTTCCTTCTTCTGCTGTTTCCGTTGCTCTTCGAACTTTTCCAGATCGAAAATCGGTCCATACTGGACCAGCTTCTCCTCGGAAGGTTTGAACTGCAACGCCAGATTTTCCGCCTCCCGGCTCAGGATCTCGATGTTGTCGTCATAGTTGCGTGGATATTCCGTCTCGATGGTATCGTTATCGATGAAGTTCTTCGAGTAGGCTACCGCCAGGGTGTTTTCCAGACTCTTACGAATGAAACGCAAATTCGTTCGGCCAACGGAACCGTCCGATTCGCACGAATCCAGACGCTTTCGCAGCAGGCCGCCATCCGTAGTGCTTGATTCCATTGTGGAACTGTAAAGAATCAAACTGTATTTTAATCGAACTTATTTTTTTTTGGATTAATGTAACTTACCTCAACCGTCTCCGTTCGACCACCGTTGCCGATTCTTCCTTATGGTTTTCTTCGACCTCCTCATCCGGATGCGGAAGCTGTTCGCCGTCTATCCCGGAATCGTTGGTAAGTGCCTTGGTTCGAGGTTTCGGTTCCAGATCGAGTAGTTCCTTCTTATCCGACGGCGGACTGGTGGCCGTTTCCGAGTCCGAGGGAGGTGTCCTTTTCCTGGGTGACTCCTGTTCCCGATCAACACTGTTCGACCGCTGCTGCTGATCGATGCTGTTGCTGTTGTTGATGATGGGCTTTTTCCGAACGGGAGTTGATTCACGCTGCGGGGCTTTGGTTGGGGTTTTCGGTTGCGATTGCCTTCTCTCATCCATCTTGTCATTGTCGTTTTTGCCGTTGTTGTTGGTGGTGGTGCTGGCGGTGCTGGCGGCGAGAGATGGTCTCTTCTCACTCGATGACCCACGGTTATTGTTGCTTCCGGCCGTAGTCGTCGTCGTCGTCGTCGCTGCTGCTGATGCTGCGTGGCTACTACTGTCAAACACTCTTGAGATTATTCCACCCGTGTTTGCTGCAGTGTTCGTTCCGGTGGCTGCAGATGCCCGATGATGTCCTCCGGCAGTGGAACGATTCGGGGGATGCCGGCTGGTGCTGTTGTTGGTGGTGACGCTGTTGTTCGAGTTGGCACCGGGGCCGGAATTGTGGTTGGTGTTGTTGTTGTTGTTGTTGATACTGTTCAAATTGGCCGCCGAATTCGACTGAGTACTTGCAGAACGCAGTCTTCGCACACGATTGTTGTTGTTAGTGTTGTTGTTGTTGGGATTCGCCGAACTTCGTGTGCTCTGCGGTGTGTCGTGACTGTTTACAGACGATGCTGGTTGGGCTGAATTGCTGAAAATGTGCAGAAAAGAATGGCACCAATTAGCATGATTCACATCCAAGTGTTTTTTTTATGGCTATGAAAAGCAATAAAGAGCATGTACTAGTAGAAACGAGTTCCCCTGTGGGCTGCTGTATGTGTATGGTTGGCTGCACTCTCTTCACTGATCCTCCTGACCACCGTCAAAAGAAAGGGGACACGGATGGAGGAGAGCACGAGCACGAGCGTTATAAATCATACGAGTTTCATGTGCTTCCCTATGTACCTATACGTACGATAATTTTAGCCCACACTTTTTGCCATCATCATTCACCTGGTTAGATAGCATCGGTTATGTCATTTACCTATGAGTTGTTGCTGTGGGGATGTAGATTTTGTTTATATGCAGATCATCGTCGGAAAGGAGTTCTTCACCTGTTCCACAACTGAGACGAACAGCAGAGATTTTCTGAATTTCCTCGTTTATTTGGAAACGGACGACATAACCAATTTTACGGTAGACTTCTGATTCTAATATATATATTTAGCCAATCAAGTTTCAGTTCCAGATAGAAACCCGAAATGTAGTGACTGTTAAGTGATCGTTGGGAACGGGTTCAGTGCTAGGAAAACTGCTCTAGTGTACTGCTCGGGGAATCCAGAAAGGTCAAATTTATTTTTTTCTAAAGGATAGGTTCAGAAGACTTGACGATAGGTTTGGTCAAATAATAGCTAATTAATTTCTTGGTTGGATCTTTTCGACTTACGAAGAAAATCCGGAAAGCTTTGATGGCGGTTCTGTTGAGCCTTCAGATAGAAAACAAGAAACTCCAAAGAAAATTATGATAGTCTTCATGAGGAAAGGATCCGGTAGGGTTCTATGACACTTCAAAGGCAGTGTGTTTATGATGTAAGAACAGATGCATAGGTGCTATTTAACAGGAATTTGAATGAATGTCAAGGATACTGAAAAGTGGTTTCTCTGCAATAGTGCGGAATTCCCAGGACTTCATTTTGTGTCTGGTTATATGAATATTTTTTTTTAAGAAGCTGCATAAGTTCCTTTGACTATATGTTTAGTATTACTTCTGCGTGAAGTCAACGATTTACATAGTTGAGGATGCTAATTTCAATTAACATACAAAAATGGTAATTTTTATACGATAGATGAGGAGATGAAAGTATAGAATTGATAGTTCCGTCAGAGTACGGCAGTGTGAAAATTGCATATAGAGAGTAGAAAGCGAGCAAGGACAACTTTAGGACGGTACAATTCGGTTTTATCTTCCCTCTATATCAAACTCCCCCGTTGGAGAGTGGCGGTGAGGGGTATTCCCCCGCCACCACTGGCTACATAAGTCCCATTTTTATCGAAAACAACCTTTCAGCAGTTTTTGGATCCGCATACATTAATACCCCTCTCCTACAAATATCGCAAAAATTGAATGCGGGAAAAATATCCAAAATATTAATTTGACCTCGGTTCAATTTTTTGCTATTTTCCAGCAGTTGTATCTGTGGACTTATTCGGTTGCTCAAATAAATAATATATATTTTCTACAATTGTCATCCAAGTTATTTCGGTGCCAACATTTCATTGGGACGAAACTGTTTTTGATAACAATGACCGATTTCTCGCAAATGAAAGTTCTCTTCTAGTCTAGTCTAGTCTAGTCTAGTCTAGTCTACACATACACAGCCAGTACTTGAAAGAATCCTGGAAAATGATACATCCATCATTTTTCTTGTCATTATTAATGCCTGCTGCACATCAAGGATGTGAAACAAACAATAAAGCGGCCAGGCCTACTGTGTAGCGTTTAGTTAATTTTTGTGGAAGTGAATGTTTACCATGTCTACTTAATAAGTATAGACAGTGGTTAACATTTAATCCACAGGTAATCAAAGAGCGGGGACATACCGTACCAACCGCTCCGTATGCAGGATTTGAAAATAGGCTATATAAATCGATGGGAGTGACAGAGCTAAGAAAGTTAATGTACACTCCTTGGTTGTCTGATCTCCTGGGATGGAACACAGGTATTTACCCCTTGTGTTCGAGCGTACAGTCCTCCCTCCGTACAAGCGTGGACGGCACCGCCCACCCACTGCCATCCCTCAATCGATCCAGCCGACCTCAGTCGAAGGACAACAGAGAGCGGTGTGCGGACGTAACCTATACGGAGGGAATGCTGTATTCGCCTAGGTTATAGCGCCCTTGCTCGCTATTCGTTATTCGCTGTCTACAATGAGAAGAAACAATGCATGAACTTACAACACGTCCCGCATACACGTAGTACCGATATAAAATGTATATTGGTACTGCGTGTACACTTCCATCATCAAAGCAATTCCTGCTTTGTAGATGGCACGTATTTAGTAGGATGTCTCCTAAAAAAATAGGATGTCTAAAATCCATAGGATGAAAGTTAAGTCTCATCCGAATCAAACGATTCCAAATGCTACGGATTCATAGAAATTAAATTTAAATAGATAAAAGTAAAAAAAGGAACAATCTCACCAAATCAGTCCAAGTGAATCCTTTGCAAGCAGCTCTGTCACGTTTGGTGTAGTAGTTCCGATCATAGACCCGCCTTACGGGGATCAATCCTCAGGTTTAATATAGTCAATTGGTCCTTGACGCAAACACGAAGCGACCGCTTATAAAATCATACAACGCATAAATAAACTGAACTTAAAAACTATCACTTGCGATGCCACAAATTTCTGGAGCGGGAGCATAAGCGAAATCTAATTACAACTTCACAAAATTCTCTCGCAAATGAAAGTTCTCTTCTGCAAATTAACGATGCCAGGATAGAGGAAACATTCCTCTAACGGATGTTGTCGTTATTTTGCATGTGTGAGATTTATTTTTCGCTAGAAATCTATGGGTAAATCCATTGTTTACTAAAGTAATTTCACCATTTTGAAATTTTGGCATCGATTTGATCATGCACATGAAAACTTCAAGACAATCTGAATTTGTCAGGAAGACTCTCTGCTCCATGCGGATGCGAACGCTCTGAAAATAATTTAAAAGTGCATTGGACTTGCCTTAAGATTTGGGCTCACCATGACGATCTACGCACCCTGAAGAAATAGAACACATTTTAAATACTGACTCCCTATACCGTCCATTCGGTCGATCTTATAGTATTTTCACTACAAGAGCAATGTTCCAGGCCAAAAATAGCAAAACCATTGTTTTAAGACTCGACCTCCTCCGATTTGTATGATACTTTGCAAAATTGTTTGTTAAGAAATTCGGCTAGAATTCGGCCATTTTGGATTTTGTAAAAATTTTCAATGAATTTTAGTACGAAAACGTCACTTCTGATCAAAATTTGTCATGAGCTTTTTTTAAACAAAAAAAAAAACTGAAGATATATTTTTTGAGATATTTGAATCACTTTTTAGAAATGTTTACTCAAAACTACTAAAAACTACAAGGGACAGCCCTATGGAATTGTACGCAATGGTGACGTAGGACTACGTGGTCTTATATAATAAATCTTATTTGTTAACTGCCGCAGGAGCATGTGTTTTGTGTAGGAATAGGAATTTGAGCGGGGTTCTCTCTATTTATACTCTTCAGTATGACGCACTTGGCATAGTTGGCCCACAACAACTCACGAAGAGCTACTGATTCCGATCAATAGCGGTGCGGCTTCTTCCTTCTTCTATGGATGCTCATTCGGGCTGCAGCTCGCTGCTTGCAGGCAGCCTTTCGTTGTGTACTGGAGAACACCACCACTCACAACGCGTTTGATGAGACCAGATGGAATTCAACTTTGAAATCTGTGTTACGGAAATCGCTTTTTACAGGCCATCGGTGATAATTTTAACTATCATAGCAACAAATGCACATTCGTGCAATTTTCAATAGTAACATTTTGAAAAATAATAAAGTCTTAATTTTAACAGATTTGTAGAAAAAAAATCCTCTCGATTGGCGTATAAAGAATTAAAATCCATCATCACTAGATCAAAATCAGACCACTTTCATGCCGCGACCGACTTTGGTTTTTGAAATTGCACCCCCAATGTTGCCTTCAAGAACATGATATGTTAGATTTAAACATATCTAGATAGAGCTGGAATTTAGGATTATGAGGCTGTGCCAGTTTTTCACATTAAAAAAAAAATCATTGGTCTGCTAGAGAATTGTGACGAAAATTACAAATGAGGTTTGAGGATAGCTGTAGAGGAAATATAGGGATCATACTAAAGGAACTCTGGGGAGAATTTCTTATGGAATTTAACTAAAAATTTCTGGTTATTTTGAGAAGTATCTCACGAAAATTGTACGGGGAAGTAAAGGTGAGTTTTAGTGAAGAGACTATTCTATGGATTCATATTATTATTCCAGGTATCTCTAAAGCAAATCGAACGCAATTTCAAGGAGCACTATAAGGGAATTCGCAGCCTCTTTCAAACCCTACGGTGAACTTGTCTACGGCTGAAAATCTCTTAAATGTTGATCAATCAATCAATCAAAAGATAAATTTTGATGAGAGCTGCATGGGAATATGGATAATAATTCCATGGTAATCTAATTCTTAAAATATCTCAAACAATTCTTTGAGGAGTATCATACTAATTACAAGTTAGTTCTCGTTTTTACAACGTCGACAACTGGTCGACAGAAAGGTAATTTTTTATCTGTTTTAACGTTGTAAGAACGATAAGTATTGTTTCTTGTCTTGTAGTTACGTTAGCTCAAAAAACAAAATAAATGGTTTTAAGATAGTTTCAAGAGAATCCCTAAAAGAATTTGTAAGCATTTTGATGGAATTTCAAGGACATTCCAGAAGGGTTTGGCATGACCTTTTGAGTATATTTCCAAAGAAACTATGAGTATCTGAAGAAATTTCAAAACGAACACTAAGGAGAGTGTCAAGAGAATTCCAAGATAATACCAAAAGATCCTATTAAGGGCATTTTGAGAAGAATTCTGAGGTGAAATCCAAGGTAATTTTAAGATATTGCATCCCCTAATTCTTAATGGCATATCCAAAGATTTCAGAAG